GCATATCTCATATCATATCTACATCTATGCCGGTATTAGTTTGTATCTATGTCTGTACACATACGCGCACACACACATACATACATACATACATACGTACATACATACATACATACATACATACACATACACATACATACATACATACGTACGTACGTACGTACATACATACATACATACATACACATACATACATACATACATACGTACGTACATATATACATACATGCAGCATATGTAACCTTCTGTACATGTATGCTGTACGATTTGTAGTCATTGTTGTGTTGACCAGTGTTTTTCGAGATGGGTGGCAGCCGGGCGGAGCTTCTTGTGATAGAGCTTCAGGCTTAGGGTTTAATGGTCAGCGTTTCACTGCAAAGGCACAGGCAAAGAGAAAGCCCTCGTCCTCAACCAAGCCCAGCGCCGGAAGATCCAACGGAGCACTACAACCTAAGCCTTCGACGTTCAACATGAACAGGAACTTGAACCCTGAAGCTGAGCCCGACACCGTTGCAAGGCTCCTAAATTTTTAGATAAACTGTACATCCGCCCGATGAGCCGGTAGTTGAAGGTCCATCAGCTCCAGAGGTGCTGGAGTCTCGGGCTCAAGGTACTATAGGGGCCTTGATGATTAGAATAGGGATTTGGGTTCTGTGGGCCTTTTCTACTCTAGCGATAATAAGGACTGCCCAAATGTATTAGATCTGGGCCGCATGCTGTCGCAGGCAGCAGATGCACAAGGGGGCCGGGGCCGGGGCCTGAGCTATCTCGAAGTCGATTTCGAGATTCAGAGGACGGCGGAAATACGTCGGGGCTTATGAAGGGTCGGTTCTGATCGCAGCATAGTCCCAGTGTTTCTTTGGCCCATGAGCGCTAATTCTGCTAATTATTAAATGAAATGAATCAATCCAGCCGACGAAATGACCTGTTTGCCGTGTGCCAGGCAAGGTTCTCGATGCCTCCCACTTTCGTGCCAGCGTCGGTGGGGGCCCCGGGGGTTTAGGGTTTAGGGTTTAGGGTTTGCGCTTCACAAGAATAAGAATCGACAACACAGTTATTCACGAATGCTATGCTGACGCCGCGGAAGGAATCAGCGAGGCCTCCGATTGCACGAAGTGCACGTGTGAAGGGTCTCCACAAAGGCTAGTTACCAGAATCTTCTGACTCCGTAGCGGTAAGTTTCTGGCACTATTAAAGTTTCGTGGGAAATCCGACATTACACGTTTGACCTTCGATGCGCTGAGCCACCTGTGTAAGCGATTTTCAGAAACAGTCGTCCTTGAACCAAGGGTGCTCGAAACTAGGGTCCCAGTTTCGGGTGGGGTTCAGACTTTGGCTAGTGTTTGGGGGATTTGGAGCTCCACCCTGCGATTTGAATCGCACTCCGAAACCCCACGACCCTCTTTCTTCAGGCTGACATGCTCGTCTGGGGGATCACGGGCCTTGATATCCCAAGGCGTTAGAGCCCAAACCTGAACTATAGAAAAAATCCCAAACCCTTGGAACCCGCACCATCTCCAAGTTGTAACCCAACGTTAGGACTTAGGGGTTATATGGGGTTTAGGGTGAAACCCAGGCTGGAAGCCGGAGTACAGCTCTTTCGCAAGCTTTATGGCTGCTCACTGACAGGCTGAGCGGGGAGTACTGTGGAGCATGACGGCACAGTGTTGATTTCCCCAAATGCCAAAGACCCTAAACTTTGGGAACTATGCAGCAGCTCAAGGCCTATTGCAAACACTTTTTGGTATCTACTTGCAGCTTCAACATCTGAAGCTGCGAAAGCGACTGTGCCCAAATACCTTTGCCTTTCGCAACCTACAGGGAGCAGCTTTCGGTTTTCAAGCAGCAGCTTTTCGAATTCTTCACACGATGAGGGGGCGCTTGATCTCTCCTGCTATAAGGATCTTATGGGACCATCAGACCTATAAAGTATAGGAAAATCGGTATGTAAGCGTGTGTTGCTGTTGTACGTACTAGCACACAGCAGAGTTGCAATCGGTACTAGTGCTTGTTGACCATGCAGTCACCTGTCATGTCTGACCTACAGGCCTTCATACATAGCATATGCGTATGATTATACACAGTATACACACTGCGTAAGTGAAATATGTGTGTGCCCGTATACATAGATACACACATATAGAGCCCAAAGCTGTGATGCCAAGAAAACAATCTCACTTTTTGGTTATTCCGGAGGACGCCGGTGAGGCTGCCAAGACGGCGCCGCATTCCGTGGAGCGAAACCTGGAGCTGTTGCGTAGAATGCGACTGTACTACTGCACGAGGGTTCCTTTGACGTTTGTGTAAAGTTCCTTTTGCGGGTTCCGCACGGGCATGAGAGTTCGTCTAAAGTGTGGTTTGATGTACAGTATCAGGGGTCCCGTCTCGGGGTTCCTTACAACAGGATCCTGCCAACGTGGGTCTAGAATTAATCCTTCAGCCCTTACAGTGTGAAACCCTGAGGCCCAAATTTCTTAGGCTTTAACTCAACATATTGGACGAGAAGCCTGAATTACCACCCCCCTAAACAACCCAAAATTGTGGAATGCTTTTCCTGGGTAAACAGAGAAGAGCAGCAACAACTTACCATCATCGAAGAGCCACTTCCCTGTAGTAGTCGATGGTGATATAGCGAAGCAGACGGGGTTTCCTTTTCTGGTTCGTTTGTAGGACGAGGGCCTCAACATATTCAACAGGGTTTTGCGAGGGTCTCTCGTACTATTCACAATATGGGTGTTGAGGGAACCGGATCTGAACATCAGTTAAACTTCTCTGAGACTTCTCGTTCTTCTCGTTTTTGGGTTATTGGTTTCCTCAACCGGGTGTGCACAGATTTTCAGTTTCAATGCCGCCGTGTAGCCCGGCACAAGCCAGGCTGACAAAGCGTTCCTCAGGATTTGGGACGATGGTTAAGGAGGGTGTATGGTTTGATTACGGTTTTAGGGTTTGGGTATTTACAGACCGTATATTTTACGGTTTAGGCTGTAGGTTCAGGATTTAGGGTTACGTCCCGCTATTTTCAATTAGTACGGGTGGCAGCTTACAAGCATTTGTTGCGCAGAGCTTTGGCCCAACAATAGTGCTTCATTCCTACTATTATCATACCTTCCAAATTGCGGCCTCCGAATGGGCATGGCACATGCAAAGCCCGTAAACCCGAAGACAATTCTAAACCCTTAACCTTACCTTGAACCCTAAACCCTAAACCCTAAACCCTAGTCCAAAGCCTGCCCGAAAAAACACGAAGTACCAGCACCAACAGCTATGCCGAAAACTCCTCAAAAAAAGAACAACACCCTAAAAGAAACCTTAAAAGAAATCCTAACACGAACCCAAAAAGAAACCTAGAAGGGACCGAGAAAGTCGATACAACCCCAAAAGCCGGCCCCAGCGCCATGCCGACCTACGACGTCGATGGCGTCCAGGTGGATTTTCCTTACGAGGCGCCTTTAAGGGTTGCTGTAAGGGTTCTGGTATAATTGCCCTAAAGCCTTAAAAATGATCAGAATGGGAGCTTCTTCGGGCCTAAAGGGCTTAACAGAGATATACACGGTTCGACTTTGTGTTCTTGCGCTCTTGTTATGTAGTCAGTTAGGTCTTTAAGTAGCTCAAGTCAGACGGTATGTCGGATCGTCGCAGAATTGCAGGGGATACTATAGAGCTTGATTTAATTAGGGGGTTTAAGTAGGATGTCTGGGAGTTTGTGCGTTTGCGGGTATTTGGGTTTAGGTGTTCAGGAATGGTGGGCGTTTTATATCTCTATATCATAAGCTTCCTCCGTGTGTTCCCGACGCAAACAGCTTTGGCCCGGCTTATCAGAAAGTCAAAATTTAGCTATAGTATATTATTATATATAATATAGTCTATTTACTATAAATAAGAATACAATATAGTGCTTATTTCTGATCTGTTTGTTTTATACCCCGCCCGTACCTCGTAGGTACTCTTTCATAAAGCTTCTGGGCCTCGTGTCCCTACAGGCATACGATTGCCAGCTGGAGTACATGCGAGCCGTCGTCAAAGCGCTGGACGGTGGGTCGCATCTCAGCCGCAACTGCTGTCGAACGCAACGCCGCCTCCTAGGATGATAGTTTATCACTTTCAGGGTTGAGGGTCCAGGATGAGTGAATTCGCAAACATACCGGTTACTTGCGTGGTTTACGTTTGTGTACTTTTGGCATCTAGAGGGAACTTAAGTGCCACATCGTCTCGAGCAGAATTGCGGAGAGCGTTGAAAAGAGCAGTACAGTGACCACCAGCACTTGGAACGTCTAAAAGGCCGAAGGCCTAAGAAGCCTGACACCCTCGACGAGGAAAGGTGCTTGATTGGTTGTGCCAATCAGAGGCCTTGATGAGATAAAGCACTCCAAAAGCGTCGTGACGCCCCACGGCACCGACACAACAAAGACCAGAACTCATTAAGTATTATCACGACGAAGGCACATTGAACTTACTCAACGCGAGCCTGCAAGTTGGAAATGAACCTGCGAACCGCAAGGAATGCGCTGTTGGAATCGCCCACCGGCACGGGCAAGACGTGCAGATCCCAGTTCACGGTTTTAGGGTGGCAGGTCTGTGGTTTCTGCTTAAGGGCGTAGCTGCATTTTTTCGTCGGCCTCTTTGAGCACTAGACTCTAGACTTACCGTACAACCGAATAACTAGGCTTGATGAAAACTGTGTATATCTACAACCTTGCATAGCCATCTAAGTACCCGTGTTTCGCATGGCTCGGTTGCAAGGGGTCGGTCTTGGGGAATGGAGACATACTTGGAATCACTTGCTCTGCTCGCGGGAATGCACACAGTGAGCGATCTCTCCTGTAGTTTGCTTTCAAGTGTGGTCTAGGGTCCAGGCATGTCCAAGCCGTGAGGACATCAATCCATGCTGCCGAGCCTTGTCAAACGATGAGACAGCATGAATTAAGTCTTGGGATCGTTCACATATTCCTCTAAGCATCCGAGGGCTTGGGATTTTGGGATCGTGTCACCTCGCCGCCGCCATGGACGTGCTGTCGATGTCCTCTGAGGAGCTGCGAGCAGCGATCGATGTGCAACAGCGACAAAAGGAAGCGAATGAAGCCAGGCGCAGAGAGCTCGAGGGCGAGACCCAAAAGGCCAGTGAGCGGAGGGAGCTTAGGAAACGGCTGCATTCCATGACTGTCTTGCGGGAGCTCTCAGAGAGAGACATTGCAGTTGAAGCCGCAAAACGACGCCGTATTGACCATGATGAGCAGGAAGCGGATTCCACATGTGATCTTCCGCACCGTGTGCAGCCTGTGGATGTGAGTGTTGGATCAAGGTTCAAACTCGCGGACCTGGTTCATAAAGCCGAGTATGTGTGGAGAATCGAAGGCTTTTCATGGATGAAATGCGGGCTTGAGCAGGGGCCCGATCCCAACGTGACCACCCGCTTTCTTCTTGGCGACGAGATAATAACCTTTCACTACAGCCCGTGGCCACACAGGCTTTTGCGCGAGCAGCATCACGGGTCACTTGCCATAGTACTGTATACGAAGAATCGTATCGCGCTTCGGTATCGCATCTGCGCCAAGGCCCGGAACGGGGAGTTCGTGCAATGGGGCGAGAAGCGTGATGTCGTCCACGAAGGCTACGGTAAAGAACTTTGTGCTTATGGCCCTGATGTGCATTCTCCGGGGGATCAGCCTGCTTCACTGGGCATCTTCGGGCTGAGCCATGAAGAGCTGCTTCAGTCCGAGTGGGTGCAGGAGGACGCGCTCACGGTGAAGTTCGAAGTGGAAGTCCGCCCCATGCAGCGTTTCGAGGAGTGCCGCTTGAGCCCCTCCGTGGAGATCCCTGAGCCGACCATCCTCCGAGACCTTGAGACGCTCTTGAAGGAAGGAACGTGCAGCGACGTGAGGTTCGTGGTGAAGGACGAGGTGATCCCGGCTCACTCGCCGATTCTTTGTGCACGATCCGAGGTGTTCAGCAAGCAGCTTACAGCGGGCATGCAAGAGTGCATCTCGAAAGTCATCGTGATCGAAGATTCTGATGTCGCCACCTTTAAGGCTTTCCTGCAGTTTCTCTACACCGATCGACTGCCGGAGGAGATCCTTCCGAAGGGGATTGGAACAAATGCGAGAGATCCGTGGCAGCTCCAGGCGCTCCTGGCCATCAGCCACAAGTATGAAGTAAAGCGACTTCAGCTATGGTGTGAAGCGAAGCTTTCAGAGAACATCAACACCTCACAGGTTTGCGGCGTCCTCTGCCAGGCGCACCTCTTGCAGGCGAAGCAGCTCGAGAAGGCGTGTCTCTCCTTCATCAAAGACCGCGCAGACCAGGTTCTCACGCAGCCGGCCTACGTCGAGTTGGTCAAGAAGTGGCCTCAGATCGGGGTGAAGGTCAGCCTCTTTTCAGCGGGGGTGTCCCACACGGAGTTGTTGAGAATGGTGGATGGCATGGAAAAGCCACAGGAGCGATCGCAGCAGGTGACCGAGTGATCCTGCACTTAGATGTTCATTGCTCGCCGCGAAGAAAGGCACGTACAGTCCGCACAAGGCCTCCTTCAAGGGTCCCCATTGCCTTAAAGCTTTGAGGACGTTTGCCAAAAGCGCTGCAGCGAACAGCCCCCCAAAAGGTTACCTCCTGTAGACAACTTCAGAGAAACAAACCCTGTGGAGGTTAAGCCCTGAACCCCGAAGCCCTAAACCCCCCAAAAAACCTGCGAGAGTCCCCCCAAGTCCCCTTTCAAGGGCTCTCCTATATCTCGTCATGGAGAGGTGATCAGGTGCAATCAGGGTTATGTGGCGGTTTGGCTAAACTGCGAGGGGAACACAAAACTAGACCTCAAGGCCCTAAACCCGAGACGTTGAAAGAGGAAAGGAAGCAACACTCAAGGCTCTGCCTACTTTGCGCAGCCCTCGGCTGGCGCCGACATCGCCAGCAGGCACACCGCAAACAGCTGGTTCATCCCCTGTAAATCAGGAGCGAGTATGTGGCTTCTGAATATGATGTTAAGGAACCTGCCTTAAACTTGATAGGTTCTCTTATGATGGTTTTCCTCAGTATGTCCTTAACTCAGGGTTTTCGGGTTTGCGAGGCTGTTCTGGCGGCTGGCCCGGCTTTCAGGGCTTGCGCGGGTGTGTTCAAAGGCGTTTGTTCGGGCTATGAGGCTTTCAGGTTTTCTTTGGGCTATGTTCCAAAGCACGTGCTGTGAGTTTTGGTTTGGGTGGTAGCGGATTTCTTTTGGCATAGCTTGCTTAGGATTTGGGAATGGTGGTCTTCTGGATGAGCTTCGGTCTTTTCGCACTGGCTGAGCTGAGGCTCGGAACTGTTCTGCATCACTCACCAAGAATTAGATGATAGAATTATGCATAGAATTAGTTGTAAGAATATAGGAAGATAATAACCCTAAACCCTAAACCCTAAAAAGCCTAAAACTTTTCCGTTTCCGTTTCGGCCTTGCACCCTCAGCCCTTCAACCCGAAACCGAACCCCAAAAACCTGAAGGCTCAAACCGCCCAGAAGTTCAAAAGCCCTATAAGGGTTTAGGGTTAGGGTTAGGGTTTAGGGTTTAGGGTTTAGGGTTTAGGGTAAAACCCTAAGCGCGTTGCTTTTGTTGTGATTGCTGGGGAGTGTGGGGTGGGGGGTTGACCAGCTGCAACTCCATGCCGGCCCGTTCAAGTCCAGTGCTCCGTCACACAGTAGCAGAGTACAGCAAGCAACATGAGTGACCTTCGGCTTTAACTCTTTGGAGTACCATAACCCAAGTGCAATCCCAAAGATCAACCGTGGAGATTTGCCCCTACCCCAACCCCGCAACCCTGTACGATTTTCGTGAAGCCCTACACCCTGCGAAACCCTACCCTGCGTACACTCCCAATGGCAGCTTGGGGAGTTGCAGAAGTAGGGAACCCCGAATTCGACCCCCCTTTTCTTCAAACGGATGCCATGATATGAGGGAGCCCCGAATTCGACCCCCTTTTTAATAGGATGCTATGTAATATGAGGGAGGTCTAGAGAAGTCACCCCCGATTGCTGAAGAAGACCAGGTGGTGACGGCAGCGCGGACGAGCTGGGAGGCCCTTCGAATCAGAAGCTGATTAGGTTCTACTTACCTTTGGTTAGCAGGGAATGGAAGAATGGTAGTAATAGTAGTTATAATTTTACCCCATTCCTCCATTCCCTACTAACCAAAGGTAGGTCTAAGGGTTTAGGGTTTAGGGTTCAGGGTTCAGGATTTAGGGTTTAGGGTTCAGGGTTTGGGGCTTGGGGTCTAGGGTTCAGGGTTTAGGCTTTAGGATTTATAGGGTTTAGGGGTCTTTGGGTCGTAAAACTCATGATCGGCGCTAGGTTCACATAGGGTTTTTGTATTACGGGGGGATCATGGAGCTTAGTAAGTATGGCTCCTTAGAGGGCTCCCTAAAGGGATCCTTAAAGGGATCTATAGGGTTGTATACGGGTTGGAGAGGGATGCTTGTTTTGAACGGTGCTTCATCGGCTCCATTCATCAGAGGTGTGCTTCATATGGGTGGTTGGCAAAATTGTGGTACCTTTTTTTGGGTCCCTATTGTAGTGCGGCACCTATTATTTCGGGTACCCTAAACCCTAAACCCTAAACCCTAAACCGTGTCCCTAATTTTGACAACCACCCATATGATTCAAGGCACTCTCGGGCCGGCGCCTGCTTTGCCTTGGTTTGGGGCGCCTAGGTTAGTAGTGACTATAAGGATTATATTAGGGCCCTATTATATTCCTACCATTATTACAGGGTGGGGGCCCTTCTAAGGCCTAGGGTTCATGCGGGTTTCAAATTCTGGAATTAGTTTTCCAGTTTGACGCGCCGGAAAGTACAATGAAAGGAAGCAAGCCTTGGGTGCTTGAAGCACTCCAGCTCTGCAGCTTCTGGTTTTGTCAGTCAAAAGTTTGTTTACTTCACCATTGACCGTAAACATCGTTTCTACTAGTTATTACTCTGATCATTCAAGCTTACTATAGTAGTGCTATATACCTAAAGCCTTTCAAGCAAAACTCCAGACTCCGAACCCTCCCGCAAAGCTTCCAAGCGGCTGTATGCACGCCAGGCGCAAGCGACGGTCCCAAAGGTGGCAGTGCCGAGGATCTTCTATGCATCGAGGAGCATTTCGTTGTTAGCTGGGCTTTCAAAGGTTTAATCCATGAAGGGTTTAGGGTTTTCGGGTATGGGGGCTAAGGGTTTCAGGATTCAGGGCTTTAGAATCAGGGTCCAGTTAGGAACAGTGCATGTTGGGTTGTCGGCACAAGGACTTTCGTTTGAGCCGCAAAAGGAGGAGGTAGTGGAATTCGCTGCTGTTTTCGTCTGCATTGCCTTCAAGCCTTCCCAACCGTCCAGACTAGAACCGCACAGGTTCTACCTACACCAACCTGTTCAGGACCCACACCCAGCTGCGGCAGGCACGTTTCTGGCCAGAGAGGGTGGAAGATGGACTGAGATGCAATAGATCACGAGCCTCTCTGGAAGTAAGTCCGTGAGTTTCTGTTTGTAATGTACGTAGAACACAATAACCCTAAAGACACAATTTCAAGTTTGAGGAGCTTTCCCACGGATGTTCGCCTGCCCACATCTTCGGGTCCATAATTCCGAAGCTGGCCGAACACATTGGCACACCACTGCACGATGCTGTGTGATTCGGAGGTTGTTTACATCCACGGCCTATGTGTGCGCAGTATTTCAATAGCAAGACCTGGAAGCCTCATTTTCGACCCGAGCTTCTAGTCTGCATAGCACACAGCCGTCTAGAAAAGATTCGTAGTTCATCGCTGGCCGCTAAACAGCATAGCCACCTGTAGTAATTGAACAAAGCAAGAACTAAACGATTCGGGGTAGGTCTCATCTGGCTACGACCTCCGAAAACCTTGAACCATTCTTCACCGGAATAGTGGGAGGTCAGTACGATGGGCGCAGGTCATGAGTGAGCTCAAGCGCACCTGCTACAAGCCCTGGAGCGTCGTTTTGGGCTCCAGACAGCAGCACGGCCGTGATTTGGGAACTGCGACTGAGATTCTATGCATTTGTACTTGTTACTCGTATCGTCTTGTATAGATATGCTTGTATATACTACGTTACTACATGATATATGATGCTACAGATTAAGTGCTATATGCACCCTGCACTGTAGCCCCTCAAAGGGTAGTTTAGACTGTTTGGACCCTTGACCATGTAATAAGCTAGCGACTGTAGTCAAAATCATGGCAGTTGAGGGGGAGGCTTTATGGGAACAGTATGTCGGTATGGTTCTAGAAGCTAGGCGAGATGGGTGCTGTTAGGTTGTCGTGCTTCACCGACCCTAATCCCAACCTGTGCCTCAAGCTCATGCAGCTTCTTCTCCGTGATCCGATATACCGGTAAAACCTTTGTGAGAGCAGAACCCTAAGCTCTAGACCCTGAAGCCTCACTCAATCCCCAGGCCGCCCTAGACCTGCGACCCGTTAGTTGTAAACACGAAGCCCTAAACCGCCCTAAAGCCCAATAAACCCATAAAGCCCCAGCTCTACAGACTTGGACCCAAAGCCCTACAAGCTTTATTCCTTATTGTTAATATGCTAAACTCTAAACCTTGTTGACCACAACGGTTAATCGCCTGAAGCTTTGAAGCCGGTGTTGCCGCCACGACAGACTTCAGAATCAGGATCGACTGGGGCGGTCGTCGGAATACGGATGGAAACTCGGGGATCCGTGGTTGAGGAGTTGCAGGATTTTCTGGGAGCGGGTTTAGCATTTTGGTATTCAGGGGTGAAAGGCTTGATGGGGACACTGCCAATCTGAACCTAATTAGCGGGACCTAGCGGGTGACAACCAGAGTGGAAGACATCGCCCAACCTCATGCCGCTGAGGCATTTCTGTCTCCACCAGTCCGTCTCGCGCCACACCGGAGCACGGCAGAACGCCATGTGCCGCAAGGTCGTAGATGATTCTCGACAGCGATTGAGGGGTTGACTGACTTGGAGTGATAGCTTGAAGGCCTACACAGACTAAACCCAAACCCCATCCGAAGCTGCGTTCTTTTGCAGTTTCATAGCTGCTTGCCCTGGCCCTAACATACAGTCCTAACCCCATAACTGAACCTCAAATCCGGAGCCCTACAGAACCCTGGATGCCTAAACCCCTAAACCCTAAACCCCTAAACCCTATACCCTAATCCGAAACCCTAAATCCGAAAACCTAAATCCGAAACCCGAAGAGCAGCCTAGTGGACACCGAGGAGCAGAAATGCCCTTATCACATCGGCTTCCGGAAGTGTGGCTCTAAGGCCTGCGGCTACGGTTCGCGGTTTATGGGTTTAGGGTTTGGTAGGGTTTAGGGTTTAGGGTTTAGGGTTTAGGAGTCTAGGGGTTTAGGGAGTTGGGGTTCAAGGTTTCGGGTTTGGAGTGCGGGTGCAGGGTTTTCGTGCTACCAACAAGCTGACAAGGACCGGGCATACTTACAAAGTGTACATGCATGCATGCATGCATGCATGCAAAA